CATTATCTTATATTTATTATAATTAAAACCCATCTGCCATTTATTTGCCCAACTCACTAATTGATCTAAATCCTTCTGTAAAGCAGCATCCTCCTCCTCACAGATAGCGACACCTAAGACCTTAAGATCATCAGCCAATTTGAATAATTTATTGACCATTCCTTCATCTATCTCATTGATGTAAATCAAAAAGAACAAAGGTCTTAAGACTGAGCCCTGAAGTACCCCACATGTAACATTAATCCAGTTTGACTGAACTTCATTTGTAACAACCCTCTGCTTTCTTCCATCTAGCTGCTCTTCTATCCAATTTGTTAACTTGTCCTCCAAAGCTATAGAGATAATTTTTTTTAGAAGCCTTTTACGTGGCACCTTGTCAAATGCTTTGTGAAAATCTAGATACACCAACTCTACACAAGCAGTAACCTTTTCAAAGAATGTCAAATGATTTGTAAGGCAAGATTTCCCCCTTAGTGAAATCATATTGACTATCCAATAAAATTCTAAACTTTGTTGAATGGCTTTGCAAAGCATCTTTTATTAGACTTTCCAAAACTTTTCCCACAACTTATCTAAGACTAATGGGCCTATAAATACTGGGACAATTGAAAAGAGGAGTGACATTAGCTAATTTCCAATCCTCTGGTACCTGCTCACTATTTAAGGACTTGCAAAAACAAATAGTGGAAAACTTAACACAGTCACTCAAGTGTATGATAATCTGGATTATAATATCAAGTTTCTCATCCAGATTCCAAAAGTAATAACTGCTTACAGAATCCTTAATGACACCCATAACTTTGCATTGAAATATGTCCTCTTGATGGAATTACTCTTAACCCGATGACTACCGGCTACTAACTTTCTTAGTAGGCAATGCAAGTCTTGCTATATTTCATTCCAACAATAAAACTAGTGGACGAATAAGTTCAAAAGTTCATAAAAGCTTTGACAAATGTAGGTAGTTTAAGAAACATAAAGCCTATTACTTTTAATAAATTTAGTTTTTTTGCATTATGATCTTCAATATCTTGGAAAATTACATTAGGAAATCGTATTTATAAGAAATGATTACAATATTTTTATTTGCTACAGATTTGAACTTATTACTTTTAATGTTTTAGTACATTATTTTGAAATCCCCAAAAAATTGTATCCTCTATACAATGCAAATTTTATCTATTTTTAATTTTTTTAATAATCACGTATACTTCTTATGGTTTCAAGTAATATACAGACCCGTAAATGATATTTATAAATAAACCCAAACAATAAATGAGTATTTTTATTTTTAACTAGGATTTCATGTTTATATATGTACATAAAAACATTTTAATTTTGTTTCATAAATATATTTTTATTTCAAATTTATGTTTATGTTTCATTGCAGTCGTACTTTTGTGTTTATTGTGCCGAATAAACCATGGGGTCAGCAGCATGAACTTTGTACATTGTCCGTAAACTATCTCACCCCTTTTGGTTGTCACTCTCGTTCAACCGAGCGCGTGCGCATTTGAACGTTACTGTAGATATGTTAGTAAGAAAGCTTTTCGGTACTTGAATATCATTTCTTTGAACTTTCAAACAAGTTTATTTCAACATATGAGTATTTTTATTTTTAACTAGGATTTCATGTTTATATATGTACATAAAAACATTTTAATTTTGTTTCATAAATATATTTTTATATATTTGTGTTTATGTTTCATTGCAGTCGTACTTTTGTGTTTATTGTGCCGAATAAACCGTGGGGTCAGCAGCGTGAACTTTGTACATAAACTTTGTAAACTATCTCACCCTTTTTGGTGGTCACTCTCGTTCAACCAAGCGCGTGCGCATTTGAACGTTACTGTAAATATGATAGTAAGAAAGCTTTACGGTACTTGAATATCATTTCT